CTCGCATTTAAATCGTCAGTCCTTACTATGTGGCTGCTATCGCGGGGGGAGGATACTGTTTGACAGTATCTACGAGGAGTGTTCAGCTGCTGGACACTTTTCGTCACCAGAAGAGTGGCAGTGTTGATGGCTTCAGGATGGTTACTGCAAGATTCAGGGACTTTTGAAGCTCTTCTAAGGTCCTTGCTTGCTTTACATTCCGGGAGATAGTGAAGTAGTGGCTTTTCTGTGATTGATTGACAGAAGATACATTGACAGATGAATAAAAAGATAGCAAATTTGTTAAACATGAACGGCCATTAGTAAAACCATGTTGCAAATCATTTATTAATTTATGCTTTTCAAGATGAAGACGAATGGTATTTGCAGTTATCGATTCAAGTGTCTTTCCCACAATAGACTTTAGGCTATTTAGCCTATAGTTTGACGCAAGTGATCTATCTCCTTTCTTAAAAATTGGTACCTCATTAGCAACCTTCCACGACTCTGGCATTCTGCCTGAATCTATTGATTTATTAAATATGATAGACAGTGGCTCGCAAAGCTTCTCTTTGCATTCTTTAAGCACTCTGGCAAACACTTCATCCGGCCCTGGGGATTTGTTTGGTTTGAGTTTTACTATTTGTTTAATAACATCCTCCCTGGTAACTGTTAAACTAGTCAACCTGTCCTCGTCCCCACCCACATAGACTTGTTTGGCTGAAGGCATATTGTTAAGTTTCTCTTTAGTAAATACAGAGATTAAATATTTATTAAAAATACTACACATCTCTTCGTCATTATCCGTTATCTGACCTGTCTCAGTTTTTAATGGACCTATCCTTTCCCTAATCTTTGTTCGATATAACTGAAAAAAAACTTTAGGATTTGTCTTTGCTTGCCCTGCTATGCGAACTTCATAGTTTCTTTTTGCCTTCCTTATCTTTTTTTAACATTTCTAACCAGTTGTACAAATTCCTGTACTAATCTGACATCCCCATTCTTAATTCTTTTGTACCACGCTCTCTTTTTACCTATAAGGTTCTTCAGATCCTTTGTTATCCACTTTGGGTCATTAGTATTCGATCTATTCAATTTGTATGATATACTACGTTCCTGTGCTTTGCTTAGAATATTTTTAAATAAGTTATATTTTGATTCCACATCGAAATCCCCTTTTACGTCACCTATCGCTGGATTCACGTTTCGCTCTAAGACCGACCCACCCCCCATGCCCAAGACTTTACAATCTATTTGACCCAAAAAAATTCTTTGGCTATTAAAATCAGCTTTTCGAAAATCTGGCACTTTAACAGAATTTTCTCCTACAGATCTATTCCATTCTAAACGAAATCTGATTACTTTGTGATCACTGTTCCCTCGCTCACTCCCTATTTCGATGTCGTTAATTTGTGTTTCCGTCTTAGTTAACACTAAATCTAAAATATTATTTTCCCGGGTTGGTTCCTTAATGTGTTGTGTAAGAAAGCAATCGTCAATTAATTCTAGAAAATCTTCTGCTTCATTATTCCCTGTTCTGTTAATCCAGTTTATTCCACTAAAATTAAAGTCACCCATGACACAAATACTGTTAGACCTAGATGCTCTAGATATTTCATCCCATAGATGCTTTGCTTCTATTCTGTCTAAATTTGGTGGCCTGTATATAACTCCTATTATAAGATTATTTGCTTTTTCGTTTAATTCTAGCCAAATAGTTTCTGTGTGTGGCTCAGTTTTGATTCCCTCTTTGAGACTACATTTCAAATTTTCCCTAACATATATGGCTACTCCCCTCCTCGTCTAATATATCTATCTGTGTGAAATAGTTTAAATCCATTTATTTGAAATTCTGCTAATAGTTCTCTATTTTTTACATTCATCTACGTTTCGGTAAGTGCAATAATATATATTTTTTCCATGCATACAAGGGCATTTAAATCGTTTATTTTGTTTCTTTTTAGACTCGTACTGTTCGTGTAATATACCCTAAGTGTATTGTTATTTTGAGGCTCCACTCCTTCCCTGATCATTTTGCCAAGTTGTTTCTCCCACAAACACGTACTTTTATTACCTTCTTTCTCCATATAAATTCCCATACCACTATCTACTAACAGTTTAAACCCAAATAAACCCCCTCCCACCACAGGTTCCAACGAGTTGGCAACAGCAACAACCCCAGCCCTCGATAGATGCACCCCATCCCGAGCATACATGTCATTTCTTCCATAGAAGTGTTCCCAGTTATCTATAAATGATATTGCCTTTGATTTGCAATATTTGTCAAGTAGGCAATTGATACCAAGTGCCCTCGACAACCATTCATTTCCAATTCCCTTTCATGGAAGAATGCCACATGTGATCGGGATTCCTCCCTTGCTCCTAACTATTTCTATGGCTGTCTTAAACCTCTGTATCAGTTCCTCACTCCTAACTCGTCCAACATCATTTCCACCGGCACTGATACAAATAATGGGTTTGTTCCCATTTCCAGCCATAATATCGCCCATGTTCTTAACAATATCACCAATTCCTGCCCCGGGATAGCAAACCCTTAATTTGTTCCCACTATCTCTGGCACAAAAAGTTCTATCCAGATACCTCACCTGTGAATCTCCAACAAGCAAAATTTGTTTAGGTACTTCCTTTACTTTGTGAGCACCTTGAGGGACCTGCGCTCCTTTCGTTGTCTTGACTTTCGAGGAAACTACCGTCTCCACACAGCATTCGTTCTCCAGCACGGCGAATGGGTTGGAAGTCCTTATGATATCTGTAGGTGGCCTTGTCAAAGTCTTCTTAAGACCCCTGTCCTTTACGACCTTCCAGGTCGACGACTTTCTACTGCTGCGTTCCTCATTCGCATCTTCTTGACGGTGTTTCGTCTGTCTTAGCTCCTTTATCTGTCGCCGCTCCTCCCGCAGGGAAACCACCTCTGCCCTCAGAGCTCCACATAACTCTCTTACTAGCACAAGTTCACTCACTTCATCTTCCATTTTCAGTATCAGGACAATTGGAGCTCCAGCTACACACACCCTCACAAAGTGACTACCTGCACCTGACGACTCTTACTCATTTTAGACGATTGTTAGTTTTAAATTCTTACTAATCATAACTCCCAGATCCCTTTCGCAATCTCATCACCATCTAGCTCGTATCTTGTAACTCTATCATCATTACGTAACATTAAAATTTTACATTTGTCAGCATTAAACTGCATCTGCTAATCTTTTGACCATTTCAAACCTCCTATTTAGATCGTCTTGAAGTAACAGTGAGTCTTTTTCCGTGTTTATTACCCTCCCGATTTTTGTATCACAGGCAAATTTGCAAATATTGCTGCTCAAACCTGAATGTAAATCATTTATAACTATAAATAACAGAGGTCCCAGGACAGACCCTTGAGGCACTCCACTTACAACGTTTTCCCACTCTGACTTAACCCCATTTATACTAACTCTCTGTTTCCTTTGATATAGCCATGCCCTAATCCAACTTAATATTGCACCTCCAATACCATGAACCTCTATTTTCTTAATCAGTTTTTCATATGGCACTGTATCAAAAGCTGGGCTAAAGTCAAGGTACACAACATCACAAATCTTACAACTATCAACTGCCTCAACTATGCTGGAATAAAATGATGAGTAGTATTTTATATAAAAATATTGTGTCTGTATTCACTAAAGAAGATCTTTACATTATGCCTTCAGCTGAACAAGTCTATACTGGTGTGGAAGAGGACAGGTTGACTTGATTAGTAGTTACAGGGAGGATGTTAATAAACAAATAGTAAAACAAAGTAAAATAAAAATACTAAAACCAGCCAAACAAAATCCCAGAGCCAGACGATGTGTTTGTCAGGGTGTTTAAAGAATGCAAAGTGGACCTTTGCGAGCTTTTACTATATTTAATAAATCAATAGTCAGGCAGAGTGCCAGAGTCGTGAAAGGTTGTTAATGTGGAACCAATTTTCAAGATAAGAGATAGATCACTTGCGTCAAACTATCGGCTAATTAGCTTAATGTCTATTGTGGGAAAGTTGCTTGAATCGATAATTGCAAAAGCCATTCGTCTTCATCTTGAAAAACATGATTAAAAAATGATTCACATATTGGTTTTACTAACGGCGCCTCATTTTTAACAAATTTGCTATTATTCTATTCCAGCATAGTTGAGGCAGTTGATAATGGAAAGGTTTGTGACGTATACATTGACTATAGCAAATTTTTTGATGCCACTTGAGAGATTGATTAAAAAGATAGAAGCTCACGGTATTTGGGTCCTTTATTAATTTGGATTAGGGCATGGTTATACCAAAGGAAACAAAGAGTTAGTATAAATGCAGTTAAGTCAGGGTGGGAAAATGTTGTAAGTGGAGTGCCTCAAGGTTCTACACTTTAAGTAAAAGCAGAATAAAACCTTGTAGTGAATCATTTATTAAACTATGTAAATCCAACTCCTGACATTTCCTAACCACCTGGTATTCTTCAGTACTTGCTCTCCTACTGGGCTTCCACTACTTCCTTCCCTACTGTGTGTCTGCCACTTCCGTAGCGGAAGTAGCTCCACTACTGCCTTCCCTAGTATGTCTCCAATACTTTCTTAGTTGTGTGCACTGGAGAGTTTACTGAAGAGTGGCGGTACTACTCTGTGATATCTGAGTAATAAGATATGAAGAACGAACAAGTGTTATCTCTCAACTCTTTCTGTCCTATATACTTCATTGTTCTTAAGCATTTCTGTTCTTGAGAATTTCACTCGACAAGTTAAGCACATCTGACAGGCTGGCGTAGACAAGCTCTGGGAAGTGAACTGAATGAACCAACTCACAGGGAAAAAGTCCTGACTTAGTTGGAATAACTGATGGTACGAGGTAATGCTCACAGGTGAAGACACATGTACAATCTCAAACTCAACAATATGGTAAAAACATAACATTAACATCTTACAACTCGCACCATACAGCATCAGATACTCTGGTCTGGAAAGCACAAGAATGTGAGAGTGTGAAATAAAATTTCTTTTAGGCAAAATTATAGTTTAATTCTTTGTTTATATATAGTAACAAAGGTAGCCATTGCCTTTTCACAAATTGACATTATGTGTGAAAAGACAATTCTCTTGTCACCTCATGCAGGTAGTAATAGGAGTAATGAGTTGACAGAAGCTGTTAGGATAGCCACTTCAGCTGGTTAGGTCAATAAACAGTTCAAGTAAATCAGTTGGCTTGTATTGATGGATCAGCAGCAGCAGTAGTGCCTGTTTCACAGCTTTCCCTTGAAGATGTCCAGATTCTGTGGCCTTCTGGAGACACCCGATGAGTTGATGTCAGTTAACAGTCGTAGTAGTTACCGTTAGTGCAACACAGATTACCATGGCTGTACTGACCGGTGGGTACCCAGGGACCTGAGTCGCAGACATGGTAGTACAGGTACACCTGTAATGATCACGAATAATTAGTGGAATTCTCTACACAATGAAAGAGTAGGGAACTATCAGGAGAAGGCGCCATACAATTACGACTATATAGCACATGGAAGGGATCAGGATAAGGATTTTGGATAGGACGGGGGAAAGGAATGAGATTCCACCGAAATTTCCTGTTCATGACTCTTTATCACTGGAATAATTCTCAACTCACTGAATAATAACAACCTTGGCAAACTTCAACTTCAGTTTTGTTTACTGTATGTTATTAGCATTGTGTATGTGTATATGTTAATTTGTGTATGATATTAGTTCAGAGTAATTGTGTTTGTTATTAGTTCTGTGTAATTGTGTATGTTATTAGTGCTGTGTAATTGTGTATGTTGTTATTGCTGTGCAATTATGTTATTAGTGCTGTGTATGTTATTAGTGCTGTGTAATTGTGAGCCGTGTAACACTTACTACATGTGCTCCAAGTTCAGTGTAGCCGTGAGTCTTGAGGGTGTCACACATGCGTTGACCGACCAAAACCCCATCCGGCCCGGGAATGTTCAGAGTCCCGTCTCCAGTGAAAATGTCCCACTGTAACACATAAAACACAATCATCGTTTTCCTCGGAAAGTAATGAAATGAATCGATATATTAATGCACGTTATGGATTGAAATGTACAGAGATATCACTTCGAATTTTAACTCTACAACGAGTAGTATATTATGTGACAAAATCCCTAGAGCAGAGTGTTGGAGTCAAACCTGCGTCCCATGTCGCCCCCAGACATACGTCTTACCCGAAGACCTCGATATTCTTGGTTAAGGTGTGCAACTGGGGTGACCTAGGACGAGGGTTCGATTCCACAGCCTTGTGATTTCATCGTGCAGTATATCATGCGTCGCGAGATCATTGTCAAAGCCACTACCACGCATTGGTTATTGGCAGAGGAAGGTTTGTGTATCTGGGGACGGCTTGAGGAGTCTTACCTCGTTGGAACATGTCTCGTAGCAGATTGTATAGTCCGTTGTACAGTCGTCAATGTTGGTGGTGGGGAAGTCGAGGACTGGAACCTCACTGTCACCAAGGGTAACAAACGCGGAACACTCGCAAGTGGGGGTATCTTGTGCCCTGTTGATGTGAAACAGTTGGTTACCTTCCTGTTGATACAATAGTACACTGTTGGGGTCACCTGGCTGTTGATACAATAGTACACTGTTGGGGTCACCTGGCTGTTGATACAATAGTACACTGTTGGGGTCACCTGGCTGTTGATACAATAGTACACTGTTGGGGTCACCTGGCTGTTGATACAATAGTACACTGGGGTCGTTCAGTATATAATAGTTCTTGGAGTCACCTGCCACCAGTCGTCATTAGTACCTGGGGTCACCTGAAATAAGTGTTTACCAGTACCTGGGGTCTCCTGGCACTAGTGTTTACCAGTACCTGGGGTCTCCTGGCACTAGTGTTTACCAGTACCTGGGGTCTCCTGGCACTAGTGTTTACCAGTACCTGGGGTCTCCTGGCACTAGTGTTTACCAGTACCTGGGGTCTCCTGGCACTAGTTGTTACACAAAATAGTCAAATTACTTTTCAATCAAGTTTGACTCAAGAATGCTTGAATTATTCGTCGTTCAACTACTCTTGTTCACTATTTTTTTCTACTCTAACTTTAGTTCTATTCAAATGCAGTTTGTAATCAACCGTAAATTCATTCAGGTTAGTCCTAAAGAATTTAATTTTTAATAAATGTTTTCATTAACCTTGGGGCAATCCAAAAAATAAACTTTGTTTTTAGATCCTCGATATTTTTTACACATTAAAGTTCTTTAATCCCACATCTGAACAGTTCTTAAAGAGGCTCGTAAAAACTCTTTTCTTGCTGTGTCTCTCTAAAGACAGTCTTCCAGAAGTAGAGAAGCTCTTCATGAACATATAGCTTAAATGAATACCTGTTCTTTGTCTTTGTTTACTTCCCAATATGAGTCGTGAGCTTTGCTTCTCACACTCAAGCTAAATGAACATATAAATATTTACTCTGTGATGGTATCGATATAATTCAGTTATTTGCTTCAATATTATTATTATATATTAAATAATTTGGAAATGTTTCAATGATTCCAAGTTCAGTTTAGCTATGGAATACAAAACCAGCTCAGTAATGATCCAGAAGTTTGGTTATGTGTCAAAGTGTTACCATGTGAGGGCGGCGAGGGAGAGGAGGACCAGGAGGCACTTCATCTTGCTGGCAGAAGCTGTGTGAGGAGCAGCCTCCAGCAGGCAGCTTTATACTGCCTCTCAGCCCACCCAAGCAACAGTCCAAGGTCCTGAGGTGAGGCAGCCACCTGGTCGCTCCCAGACTCAAGATGCAATACTTCACCGACCCGCCACTTTCCGTCCCCTTCCACCCCCTTTACTCAAGCCGTTCACCCCAACCCTTAAACTACGTCCTTCTTAAAATGTACACAAAATAATTGAGACAAATTTGTCTGTGAATTTTTTGACACAAATACTGGAGGAAAACAGCGACTTTGTATATGTGCTTCATCATTAACTAGGATTATATAGCCAGTGGTATTTGACAGAAGACTTGGATCCTTTTCCTTTTCTTTTGCCAACATTATTATTTGTCAGCTACAAAAATTTTCTTTAATTGATGTTACGATACCTTTATAAGAGTTATGTACGTTCATACTAAAATGAACTTTTTGGCTGTCTTGGAATACTTCATAATTGAATGTATTTGATTCGCAACATTGCAAAGAAAATAAAAACAAATATGGGAAACAAATTTATTCAGCGTAATGGTCGATTAATAAGTTGGATGCCAGAAATTCTTGGCATGTTATTGCTGTCAGAGCGCGTACAGGTAGTCCAAGGTTATAATCAACTACTTCTTTGAAGGCAGATTCTTTGGGTCTATCAGGCGGGAGAGATACATAATAATTTACACTTGGAAAAATATTAGATCGACTGGTTCCAAATCTGCACACGGAAATAACACCACATGAGATCCAGTGCAGACTCATCATCTGCACGTGCAATAGGTACACTGAAAGATAATTTTATCAACATTAAGGAGACAGGACTTTTCAACACACGCATTGTTTGTTCACTTAAGATATTGTAATCAATAAATTGACTGGACTAATTAATTCAAAGTTGTTGAGTGTAAATCAGTGAAGAGACCGCCCCCAAAGGTGCTGTATTGCACCTTTGGGGGCGAGGCTTTGCCACACTGCCTAACATGGGGTATTTAAGAGTGAACAGGCGACCTCTTTTTAAGGAAGGTTCGCTCTTTGCAATATGGTACCTTCAGGCCACCAAGTTAGACATGTTAAATCTCCTCAAAGGAATCCAGAGGGAATTAGCAGTTCGGTTGTACAGACTACGTGTTGGTTACAGATGCAACTGCGAAATTAATGAACACAGAGAGAGGGAATGCATCTTCTGCCAAACAATTACATAAATGCCACTTCTTCAATATCTCCTGGAATGTTAAGCAACCAACGACCTTAGAAGAGCTCTAAGAGTCCCTGAATCTTGCAGTAACAACCCTGAAGCCATCAACACTGCCACTCTTTTGGTCAAAAAAGATGTCCAGCAGCTAGACACCCTCATATATACTGTCAAGCATTAGGTTAGGTATCCTCTCCCGCGATAGCAGCCTCATAGTAACACCTGCCAGTTTAAATATGCGCTCAGCACAAAGTATATCCTTTCATGACTAATCACATTCACTCCGAACATCTACCACTTACGGGCTACTCATGCACATGCCACCTCTTGGGTGGCTTAATGTCATCTATCACTCAATCAATCATCCTTTTTCTCAATGCATACAGGAAAATATTCCTTGACAAACAAATTGACAGACTCGTCTCTTATCACGAACATCACATTGATTTCCTAACTAACACTCTCAGCAGACCACAAAACACATATGATCTCTTCAATACTGTACACGAACTACCACCTAAGCCTATATACAGACGATTCTTTTCTCTGTCTTAAAACAGCACCATTAACATCTGCCTACTCAGTCGTTGTGCTTTAGAGCCAATCACTTCAAGGATGTGATAGGATTGATGATAGCGTAGTGAAGTGAGTCTACCAAGTGAGAGTTATTCTGCTTACCTGACCAGAAATTAGGAGGTCAGAGGATGGAAATATATTAAGTAAACATCAGTGAGTGACTTGAAAGAGTTCAAGCAGAGGATGAGCATCTTGTAAAAGTGGGAATAGGATGTCGACATTTTATGACGTGACGTGACACTGGTGGACATCGTAACACTTCACTTTAGTTGACACAGTCGTCAGCAACGGATGTGTGTCACTGTGTCCTGGGAATATAGACGAATACTGTTCTGGATAAAGTGTTTGAGTGAAGGCTACAGTGTATTATTGGCGAGGAAGCTGCTGAGGACACGGCGTACATCATTTCTCAGATTATAAAGATTAGAAGCGGCCTGAAGCCTAGTGGTGGTCGTGCCTGTGTGGAACTCTAATGTGTTATATCCTCGAGTGAAGGAGAGTAAACAGGTATTTCTGTGTGGAGCCTGCTAGACGACTTTGTGTGCTCAAGTCACGAGGAGAGAAGCTGTGAGAGGCAGCCCCAATGTGATTTTGTTGGATGTCTGAGAGTAACGCCATCTTGGAGCGCCGTAATATTACTTTTATATATTCTTTTGTCTATGTCTTTATGTAATAAATGTTTTTTTGTTTACAGCTGGATTTTGCTCTTGTCCTGGTGAGGCTTCCTGGATGGACAGCGAGAGAGAGAGAGAGAGAGAGAGAGAGAAAGACACGGTTGCAAATTGGGTGACAGAGGTCAATAACTCATAAAGGGGGTTATTTAAGAGATCATCCCATAATAAGGATAGTGTGGGGAAGTCACAGTGGTTCGAGTGGGTGTATACTCATGACAACTAGGCCAGTCTGGAGCTGCACCCTCGAATAAAGGTGATGCTGAACCCCTCTCCAAGAGCAAGACAATTACAGGGTGATCTCCCACCTAATTGCAAGCACTTCAGTGCTCATTCCTGGTCGAATGACAGCAACGGGAGTGTGGTTGCTGCAGTCGGGCGTATTTTTATCAGGGAGTGGTTGGGGTCTCTGTTCGTCGGGTAAGCAAGTATCAGTATGGTTCAATAACCAAGTGATATTAAATCTCCAACCCCCAATAGATTTCGGGGCCTGTCCGGGATTCAATTGACACACCCATACCCTGACCAGGAGAGTGAACTGACATTCCCATAGCAGCTGTTAATAGTACGGGTTACTGCAGGTAGATTTTCTCTTTCTCTCAGAAAGACTCACAGGACAAGATGTAGAAGGTACAAGCATTTGTAGAGTCAGACAAGCCTGAGGATTTAGAAGGGTGCACAAAAGAGCATTTAAGGCAAATTGCAGAGAAATGTGGTGTCAAGGTGAAGTCATCCAAAGTGGTAGGAATGAAGGAGGAGATCCTTAGACAGTTGAGAGCTAGGAATGAAGTGGTACAGCAAGGTGTCCAGAAAGGAGCCGAAGGCGGAAAGGAGATGATGGACAGAATGATGTGAGGTCCCAAGGATAAAAAAAGGAGTAGTAGGAGTAGCTGCAGTAGCAGAAGTAGCCGGAACAGGACCTTGGAAAGTTTCCAGCTAGTGCGCCAAGAGGAACGAGAGGACAAAGAGAGGCAGTCCCAACTAGAGAAGTTGAGGCTGGAACTGCAGATAAAAAAATGAAGCAGAAAAAGAGAAAGCTAAACTAGACTTAGAGGTAGAGAGAGAAAAAGAGAAAACTAGAGTATGAGAACTGGAGGTAGAACAGGAGAAGGAAAGAGAGAAAACTAGACAAATGGAGATAGAAGCAAGTAGAGCTTCGGTGGAGCAGAGGATTGAATGTGGGTCGCCAGAGAAGACCACCGTGTCTCAACCACCAGATAACAGAGTTAGGGCAAATGATATTCCACTGTTTGTGCCAGAGGAGTCGGAAACCTTCTTTGAACACTTTAAGAAAGTAGCCAATATCAAACAGTGGCCACAAGAGAAGTGGGCCCAATTGGTCAAGTTAAGGTTGACTGGCGCTGCCAGAGAGGCACATATACCCAGTTGTCTTTGAGGGAATGCCAAGATTACTGGACTGTGAAAACCAGCGTTATGCGTTCGTTCTTGTTGACTCCTGAAGCTTACAGAAAGCATTTCCGAGAGATGATTAAGGTTCCAGTAAATATTTTCGCTGAGAAAGCGTGGGACCTGGAAAGGCGTTTCCAGAGATGAATAAAAGCTGTCAGGGTGGAATCGTATAATGATTTGAAACAGTTGATGATAATGGAGAAGTTTCTAGAAAGAATGCACACCCCGTTATGAAATCCAAAATCCAAGAGGCAGGAGTGAGGAATGTGAGAGATGCAGCAGATAGGGAAGATATGATTACGGAAGCCTATCGGAGCTTGAGGGAAAGCAGATTGAAAAGCGATATGAGACGGAACTATAGCAGACTCAGTGGAGCCTGGGGTGAGAAACATTTTGGCAGACAGATAAATAAGCAGGTTAGCCCCAAACTGTGAAAGAAAGTTCCAGAGTCCACCTGCCGGAGACAAGCGAGTAACCAAGCATGGACAGCAAAGTTATGAGTCCAGCCAGACACAGCATAGTCCAGGTGGTGTGCCTGTGCAGAGAAGCTCCAACACCAGTGGACAGAACCAAAGCCACTCAGAAGGACAAAGTAACACCGGATGGTGAAGGAGTATCCCCAAGGTGAGATGAGTAGAGTATAACACTGTATGGGGGGGTTCGAAAAGATACAACATGCACTGGATTCTCTATCAGCTGACAATGTGAATGTCAAGTGAATACAAGGCGAGAGGCAGAAGGATTGAGCAAAAAATGGAAAACCTAGAAACAATCTTTCTCACAATTCTTTGGAATGACATGTTAGATAGAATGAACAAAACAAACACGCTCCTGCACTCAAAGGATGTGAAAATCCTTGTTGCCACGAATCTCTTGAGTCTATGAAAATCTATCTTCAGGAAACTAGAGACAAATTTAGTGAGTATGAATTCAAAGCCAGGAGTATGTGTCCGGATACAGATTACAGGGTGCGGAAAAAAACGAGAACGAAAACGAAGTATGCGTTGTATTATACATGATGGCTCAGCAGAAGAGGTACTTCTCATGAATTAAAACCGAAAAATTTAAGGTGGAAACTTTCCTCCCTATTCTGGACAATCTAATCTTTGAACTGACAAAAAGTTCAGAGGTTTATTCACAGATTGGAAATCTGTTTTCTTTGTTCAGTGAATTGAAACCCATTGTTCCTGATGCACTGAGAAAAAAGTGTGAACATCTGGGTAATATGTATCACAA